AAGCACAAACAGATACATTCACAAACCATTCTATCTTTCCATTGTAATAACTCGGCATAACAAATTTGAACCTTTTGCTTTGCGCATTGTTAACCCTCAAACGAGCTCTTAATGGTGTACTATTATTGTAGAGGCCGAATGTATATCTTCTCTTCTCGATCTATTGAGTAACTTATGACCCGCTACACGAAAGAAATAGTTGACGTTGATTTTATAATTGCATGCTTCGCGGCACACCCTTCTGCACTAAACTAGAATTTCTTTTAGAAATTATTGGACCATATAAACTCTCGTGTCTGACTAATCGAACAATGCCAAAATGTCATACCAGTGGACCGGATGAGAGCTGGCAGGAATGTTTCTAGAAGACAAAATGGAGTAAATAAATTTGATCCTACTTAATTAACAGCTTAATATAATTTTTATCATAGAATGCTGACAAGGCGACGTGGTGTAGAAAGTGGAATACTGTACAAGCTCTCAAATATTATGTTTTTTGCTTGTATACCTATTCTGTATGTAACCTCCTTTTAAAAAAACAAAAAAAATCTTTTTGAAGAAATATTCTGCACGCAAAGGAATTTTTTTTTGCTTACTCTTCCACTATGGGCCATACATACATGGCGTCATGATGCGCAGATCCATACGTGCCGCAGTTGTATGGCTGCCATCTCGTCTTCTTGATGGCTTCTGGTTGGCAAGTCAAAGTGGCAGACATGTTGTGGCGTCATCATGTCGCTCATGTACCTTAATTCTTGCACGTATCTCAGGTCACCTCTCCACTTGCGAAAACCGTTTCGGCACAGCTTATTGTATATCTTCTCACCTGGCCATTTAAGACATATATTTGTTTATTATTATTAAGAAACATGAATGCCTCCACCAACCTCTGTTTTGTCGCCTGAACAAAAAATGTCTCTTATAGCTTGTCTTTTTTAATGAGAAAGAAATCTCTGCTCAGCAAAGGTTAGGGCATCAAACTCCTGAAATAACTAGAGAATTCCGAATATAACTGTAGAGAACTCCTGAAATAACTGTAGAGACTTATCATGTGTAGTAATTGTGTAATGCGGTCTAGCAAGTATGCCATGCCACGTCAAAGCCGGTCTAAAAGAGAATGAAATCCATGCCTCCACTTCTTCATTTTTTGAGATGATGATCCACTAAATTCTTTGGTGTGCGAACGCACGCACGCACGCGCAACCCATGGATGGGGCGAGACACGCACGCTTTGAGGTGAATCTTGCGGCGTGCAGTCACAGGCACAGTGGACTGGAGCGCGCGCATCACGCATGAATGGTCGGAGCGTCGTGTGTCGTCGAGGTGTCGGGCATCCGCCGGGGTTTCGACCGGCTCCGGTCGCCGATCACGAGGCAGGCAGGCAGGCAGGCCCGAGCTTGCTTTGACCTCGTTTTCCTTTTTGCTCCGAGGCGATGGCACCGTCCACCGACCCATCCATCCCATGCGATGGACGGAGATGCGTCGCGTGAGAACGCGGCCCAGAAGCGAGGCGAAACCGGTGCGACGGGGACGGGACAGCGCGACGGACAAACAAACGTACACGCCCGGAGTTGGAGTCCCCGTCCGCCGGCCCCTCCACACCGCGTGCACCAACCCGGTTCCGCACAAAAGGCGGCACCCCACCCGGCCGGGGCAGAGCAAGAGCAGAGCACACACCAGCAGTCCATCCAGCCCAGCACCTCGCGCGCGCCATCAGCTAGCTAGGATAGGATTGTCTCCCCGCGCTCACCGCCCGGCTCGCCGAGACCGCGGCGAGCTTTCTCATCCCGCTCCGTCCACGCCGCGATCGACACCCTTCCCTTTCCCCCGTCTCCCTCCTGGAAATTCGGCACGTTCACACCGCCCCTATAGCTGCCAGTACAAAACAGAGGCCAGCCTTCCTTGCACGGCTACTCTGCTATCCCCTGCTCTACTCTGCTCTTCCCCTGAGACAGACGGCACACGCCCCGTTCCTTGCCCGACGTCCCGTGGAACGCCGACGCCGGCGCCTGAACCGAGGTCCTCTTGTCCGCGGCAGCTCACCGGAGCACGCGCGAGGCGCCGAGCGATGAGCTGCCTGGGGTGGCTCAAGAAGAAGAAGGGGTCCGGGAGCGGGAGGCGGGGCACCACGATGACGACCATGACCACCACCACCACAACAACAACCACCGGGTCGGCGGTGAGCACGAGCCGGTCGGACGACTCGGGGGCGGGGCGGCCCACCAGCAAGTCCACGGGCTCCGCCTCCTCGCAGCGGAGCATCTCCTCGCTCTACGAGGAGCGCGGCCACGGCCAGCTGCGGGCCTTCGAGTACGACGAGCTCCAGGCCGCCACCAACGACTTCGGCCGCGCGCAAAAGCTCGGCGAGGGCGGCTTCGGCGGCGTCTACAAGGGCTTCGTCCGCCCGCTCGACCCCCGGGCCGACCGCATCGCCGTCGCCGTCAAGCGCCTCAACACGCGCGGCCTCCAGGTACGCTCCCCCACCCACCCATGCCGCCATGCCGCCATCCCTCCCTCCATCTACGAGCGAATTACGTACAGTAGTTTCCTATTCTGTTCTGCTCCCCGCGTGATTCAGTGTCCAATTATTTACGCACACCCAGTTTTGTCAGAGTTTTGGGGGCATCAGAATGTGACTGAATCTAAAGAAATTTCCCCCGGACAAAGAAGCATCCCACTTATTTTGAGAATTTGTTTCCGATCATAATTAATATTTTGAGAATTTGTTCAAAATTGTTCCTCTTGGCACCGCTCAATGGCCGGTGTCCTATTGGGGACGACCAGAAAAATGCAGGCAGAGAGCTTCCAGTGAACTCGGCCACTTTTTCCACCCCAAAAATTGTATTTATGTGCACGGGTAGTGTGTGCTCTTGCCAAATTTGACCAAGTGTTCCATCATGCGCACCGAGTCGCCGACTACAAGTGCAAGGGATTATTAACAGGTTCATGGAAAATCTGTTGAAGTGTGGTTGATCCATAGGAAGCAAAGGCACATTAGGCCTTTTTGAGCTGGCAGGGAAAGGAGGAGACATTTCTGGGTTGCAAAGTCTTGAAATTGGTCTCTCTCTTTGACTACTATACTCGGAGGTTAGAGCTTATCTGCTAGCATGCGTAGAAAGAAAAAGAAGTTTGTTAGGAAAAAGGGAGGGGAAATGCAGGACTTTCAAGGATCAAATATTGACTATAATAGTGTAGATTGCTCTTGCAATTGGGCTGTGGCAGTCAGATTTGGTACTAAATTTTATCAAAGAGTACTTTAATCATTTTGGAGCAGTTCAGCTCCTGGGAAACACATTGCTATGATTGAGTATATGATTAATGAGAACATACGCATGCTAGTATTTTATCCACAAAAGAAAAGCTAAACAGATGGGAGGATATAATATTTTTCCCAACATTCTGGCATCTTGAAACATGATATAATATTTTGTTTCAAATATATAGACACGTATACTAGTTTGGTGTTGAATAAACATTAAAAGTAAACGGTGCCCCACTTCGTGCGGCACCCAGGAGAAGTATGGAGTTCAGAAAAGGATGTATACCAACCTTACATGTACATTCAGCATTGTAGTATCCAATTTGCCCAATCAAAGGAGACAAACGGTTATAATGAAGTGTTCTGGAGGGCAAACCATTACGCTAATAATGTTGCTGTTCTTAGTTGACTACTATTCACTTTGAGACCAAATCCTGGTTCATGTACCTAGAAAAGAAAGGTCAGCTAGAAACCTAGAATTTTCAATTCTTCGTGCCTATTATTCCATTGCTTGCTTACGAATAATCTGCTAGCAACATAAGACTTCGTCCGGCACCATATTCTTATGTTTGCGTATTCAAATTTGATATTGTTCTACTGACTGAGCTACTGCTTCTTCCTTGACCGGTTGAAAAAAGGAAATTTTTGCAAGGCACAAATTCGAATTGCTTAGTTTTCGATGTTTACTTTGCGTTGTAAGACTAGACTACTATTTAATGTTAGCGCATTGCCATTTTCTTATTTGCTCGTCAAATGAGCAGCCAGTTTTCAATGTTTTTATATATCAATATTTCTCAATTGCTAATAGTTTCTAGATATTTTTTTCCTGACAGGGACATAAGCAGTGGTTGGCAGAAGTACAGTTCCTTGGAGTTCTTGAGCACCCAAATCTTGTGAAGCTTCTCGGATATTGTGCCGTTGATGGTGAAAGGGGAGCCCAAAGATTACTGGTCTATGAGTACATGCCCAACAAGAGCCTGGAAGATCACTTGTTCAGCCGAATCCATCCTGCTCTCTCGTGGAACAGAAGGCTTCAGATTATCTTGGGTGCCGCAGAAGGATTGGCTTACCTGCATGAAGGGCTGGAACTTCAGGTATACTTCATACATCATTGTTGTTCACCTGTTTGTTAGTTCCTTCCAAAATTTCATTTATCATTTAGCAAAGAAACCCCTTTGGTAATTTTTATGAGCGTCGCAACCCAACCGCTAAGCTGCACCAGTGGTGCCAAACAAAATCTACAGGAAAGGCAGCATCATCTTGAGAATCTGCAGTTTTCTTAGTATTCAGCCTTCAGAAATGGGTTGTTGTGCTGTTTAGTGTTTGAGCCGTGCATCCATGTATGATCTATAGCGAGAGATCATGGTAGGGGTCAACGACGCGCACTAGAATTCGCACCACCGCGCGCGTGTAAGATTCCTGAAGCTTAGTCAAGCACCACCGCGCGCGTGTAGAGGACGTGGGCATAGCCCAGTGGTTGGGGGCGCATGATTGTAAACCTAACGACCAGAGTTCGGAATTCTCATGAGGGATGCTTCTTCTATATCAATAAAACCGTGGGTGCTAGTGCCCATGGAGTTTCATTTTTTTTTTTTTAGTCAAGGACCACAAAATCCTCAAGTTGGATAGGCTAAGAAAGCATGCTAGGAGAAGTCATGTTCAGTTCCCCACCACTACGTGCCTGTAATATTCCAGGCAGCCAACTTTGTTGGAACTTTCTGAAAGCGCGGTTCAACATTCGTCGGTGCTTCGACACGCAGCCAACGTATTCGATTTCCCCTACGTTTCTCCTAGCGGGGCTGCTGCATCAAGCATTGGGGGTCTACTAAAGCATAAAGTAGTTAGTCAAGACATTATCAGCTGTCAGGGGAAGGCTAGTAGTGATCATGACTTAATTTTCTCAGGCCCTTCGTTAGTGTTGAAGGTTTGTTTTGAACATTACGAAAAGAAGATCGCGTGTTCATCGCAGGTGTCTCTAGCCTTGTACACTATGCACTGCAGAATTATGTCCTCAAGTTCTTTTTCCTATTTGTTATCTAATCTGAGGTGCTCTGTTTTGCTAGGTGATCTACCGGGACTTCAAAGCCTCGAACGTGCTGCTGGACAAGGACTTCCAAGCAAAGCTATCAGACTTCGGGCTTGCGAGGGAGGGGCCAACAGAAGGGAACACTCATGTCTCAACTGCGGTACGTCGCCATCTTTTTGACCCAGATACTAAGAGAAATCTCAAGTTTCACGCAACCACATTTTGCCTCAACCATCTTGGCATTTCACCAAGATTCAGTTGGTCAATGGCTGCCACTAAATGTTGCTGACCTATGGTGGCACTTGCTCCCACGCATGCTGTTTGTTTGATGTGCACCTGATGATGACAAGCTTGTGCTCCGTTTGTCAATGGCGCCTCCCTTTTCTTCTGCATTTGACTCTGAATTTCTGAAACGTGGTTGCATCAACATTGTGTCAGCATGACATAGAACACACACATTATTACGTCATGCTTGCAACTACTAAATATATACTCCCTCCATTCCTAAATATTTGTCTTTCTAGAAAATTTCAACAAATGACTACATACGAAGCAAAATGAGTGAATCTACACTCTAAAATGTGTCTATATACATCTGTATGTGGTAGTCCATTTGAAATCCTAAAAAGACAAATATTTAGGAACGGAGGGAGTATATGGCATGATATTTTCTCTCCCCTAAACATTTTCCTTTTCATGTGGTGATCAGGCTGTGGGGACGCACGGGTACGCGGCGCCGGAATACATCGAGAAGGGGCACCTGACGGCGAAGAGCGACGTGTGGGGCTTCGGGGTGGTGCTGTACGAGCTCCTGACGGGGCGGCGGTCCCTGGACAGGAACCGGCCGCAGGGGGAGCAGAAGCTGATTGAGTGGGTGGTCCAGTTCCCGCCGGACAGCCGCAACTTCCGCATGATCATGGACCCCAAGCTCCGCGGCGAGTACTCCTCCAAGGCGGCCCGGGAGATCGCCAAGCTCGCCCAGAGCTGCCTCCTCAAGAACCCCAAGGAGCGGCCCGCCATGAGCGAGATCGTCGAGGTGCTCAGGCGAGCCGTGCAGACCGAGCAAGCCTATGTGGACAAGGCACCCGTCGCCGGCAACGGGAAGAGGGTCAACGTGGCGCCGCCGTCGAGGAGGTGACTGATATATGTTGTCGAGGAGAATTCCTTGTCCCTCCTCCTAGGCGAGGTTTGCGTATAGCTATGCGAACACGAGTTTAGATGATTTGAGTTGACGCGGATTGTTGATAGTGTTTTCTTTTCCCTCTTCTTTGGAGGCTCATTTGGGTGAAGAATCAGTTACTGTGGAATGCAAATTAACCAGCCAATACTTAAGTAGGAGTAGAAACCCTTGCCTGCTGGAGGATTCACTGCTCATATAGTTCAATAGTTGGATATCCCACTCTGAAGGTATGAGAAACTTCTTTCGTCCGTCCTTCTTGCCTCAAACGCGGCCACTCCCCGTAGGGTCTTCTTCCCATGTCGACGGCGAGCATCCATGCTGTGTGGTCCTTGGCGAGCATCCATCGTCGTCTCTGGTCCTTGCCGTAGCCATGTTGAATCTCAAAGTTCAGCTCAGGGCCCCTCTCAGTCTTGGCCATGATTTTTTTCGAAAAGGGGGACTCCCGGCCTCTGCATCAGTACGATGCATACGGCCACATTTATTAGATAGTAAAAAAGGTTCAACAAGGTCTCAAAGTCTGCAAACAACCGCAAAGACTAGCTCACACAGAGCCTCAAAGCCAAAATAAACAGCCCAAAAAGCCACAACCGGCAGGCAAAATAGAAGATAGGTAAACTAATTTCCTATCCTATTACATGACCGCCATCCAAACCGGTTGAAGATATCCCGCGCTACCATCTCCCACCGGACAGATCCAGTAACCAAATGCTCCCTGGCCTCCGTCGGAGTGAGTAAGGACCACATACGGATCAAAGCTGTAGCCCGGAATAGAACCTGCAAAAAATGAATAGTTGTTGTTCTGTTAAATGCCAAATCATTTCTGCACCATAACAACGCACATACTCCTATACGAATGTGTCTAGCTGTTTCGGACTCTATCCCAGCAAGCCACACCCCGAATAACGTGTTGACCGAAGTGGGAGGAGTAATGTTGAAGGCAATTTGCACAGAGCGCCACAACCCTCGTGCCAACGGACAGTCAAAAAAGAGATGCTTGATAGTCTCGTCCCGATCACAGAAACTACACCTAGTAGAACCTGTCCAGTTGCGCTTAACTAGATTGTCTTTTGTTAAGATTACTTGTTTATGCACAAACCACATAAACACTTTAATCTTCAAAGGGACTTTAACTTTCCAAACAACTTTGGAACTAGGAATCACACTAGTGTTAATGATATCAATATACATCGATTTAACCGTGAACTCCCCAGATCTAGTAAGCTTCCAACACAACTTATCGGG